GAAAGTTTAATAGTATTTTCATTAAAAAAAAACTTAATCATTCAAAATGATAAAAGTTTGATGAGTTTTTCGTTCAAAAAATATTTTAAAGACCGACTTTTCCCTTTTAAAACATACGTTGATCTTTCTACATCATTTGTATAAAGCTTATAGTTTTACAGTCTATCGACTTCTATAAATGTATGGATCTTGGTCCGATTAAGATTTTAAACCAGTAGGCCTTTGACCTGACGACATACAGATCTTTGACTTTCCAGGTTAAAGGTTTAAATTTCACCAAAAATAAAGAAGGTATGTAAGTCTATCTTTTGCATTTACAATATATAAATTATATACTTCAAAAAACTCGACTTTGAATTGTGTACTAGTATTTTCTTTATGAAAAGGAAGCTAACGGACCACTAAAGTTTGCCGCGTAAGCGCCTAAACCTGAGGTATATTTGTCGCTTACCATAAGGACCAAATTTTTATTCGGTAAGTGAGAGAGAAAATTCTTATCCGATAAAAGACACTTAGGGACAGTTTACCCAAATGCTTACCCGGTAAGCGCTTATTGATAGGAATCAACATTATAATTTATTTTGATGCGTAAGATTTTAGTACATCAAAACATATCGAATGCAATAATTTACTGGGTAAGCGCTTACCTGGGTAAGAGTCGACATCCTCACTTACTGAGTACGACACTCCATCATTCTCATCGCTCTTACCCGATAAGATTCTTGGTACTTCTCATGTTCATCCGATTAGAAATTTTATTCGATAAGCACTTACCAAATAAGTGTTCAGTAAAGAGTCCCTTACCAACATCCATATTGATGTTGGTACTGTTACCCGATAAGATAAATGAGTGTTATATCTATTGTGAATAAACACATACCCAATAAACGTTTGTCAAACGATCCCTAAATCAATTTCTTTTTCCATGTCTTATTATACGAAATTAAGCATATTCAAAATCATTATAGAAAATTATTTAGTTATGTAAGCCATGCAGGGGTAGCGTAGGGACGGACCCAAGAAGTTTTGGATATGGTGACACCATATAAAATGGTAGCACCTTCTAGAATAAAACGGTTGTACCTTTCAAGAACCTAATTTTTTACCTTACCACGGAGGAACAATATGGTGGTACGTGCCACCTAACCACCCCTTTAGGTCCGTCTATGGGGTAGCATGTGTGTCGGTCACCTCCCTAAAAGTTTTATGGTTAATAAAGATCATAAAAAAAAAACTATATTTCACAAATTGTTAAGAGAGATCGTTTATCTAAACACTTATCAGGTAAATACATACTGATAAGGGTAAATATTATTGTTTATCTTGGCAGATAAAATTGTAACCCATAAAAATAACATCGTGTGCAACAATTTACATGATAAGTGCTAATCGGGTAAAAATCGTCATCATTATTTACCGTATAAGATTTTTGGTCATTGTCGTTGCTCATACTGGATAAGATTTTATGTATTTACCATATTCATCCGATAAAATAAAATAATATGATAAACACTTACTCTATTGGTAATTTACATATTTACCCATCTTGCCAAAACAAAAGATGTCAAATACAAAACAAAAGGCAACATAGTTTTTATAGTGTATAAACCTTACTAATTTTGATTATGCTAATTTTGGTATATATTTAAATATTTAGCTGAGTTAAATAAAAAATTATTTCAATTATTTGAAGTGAAAAGAAAACCCTTGGACAACATACATTATTTTATAAAACTGATAATCAACATAAATTTTTTTAAAATGAGTAACTTGCATAAAAAAGTAACGTATTTTTAAAACTTTCATTTTAGTATCTAAGAATGTAAAATTGTAAATATTTAAGTATTCAGGTAACTGGTTGAAGCATTAACCGGTTACCATGCTAATATGACGAATGATGTGGTATCCAACTCAGTATTATTTGCTGAAAAATTAACCGGATACCACATCAGTTACCATATCAAAATAATTGTAATTATAAAAATAAAGTTATGATGATAAATAATAAAATAAGTTGTCAAAAAAGAGGTTAAATTTGAATGATAAAAGAATAATGGATGAGGGAAAGAAATACAAAAAGCGGGGTCCACCAGCACATGCAAGACTCCCAAATTCATGGGTCGGGTCCCATGGGACACGTGATTGACGGGCCCTTTTCATCAATTTTCATTTTTGTTTGCTTTTGGTCAGGGGCAGTTATGGAAATTCCCTTCCAAGTCAAAATAGTTATTACTGACTACCATGCCTACCTATGCTATATCAAAAAAACAAAAACCAACCATCATTGCTACATTTATCGTATCTGCCGTTTTATATTTTTAAAAGAAAAGTACAATAAAAATCAATGGACTTTCTTATTTGGAATAATTAAGTCTTTGGATTTTTTTGAAATAAATAAGTCATTGGACATTTCAAAATATATTAAATAAGTTATTGGACAATTTTTTGGAACAAATAAGTTCTTGGACGTTTCAAAATATGTTAAATAAGTCATTGGACAATTTTTGGAACAAATAAGTCATTGGACATTCCAAAAAATGTTAAATAACTTTTTGGACAATTTTTGGAACAAATAAGTCCTTGAACAATCCAAAACATGTTAAATA